TGGTTTTTCTCAGCTTTGTTATTCTCGTTTTCTTGATTGTTCTGCCTTCACCTCGGCGAATGGCGGTTAATCAAGGTTGGAAGACCTTGATTTTTAGAATGACAAAGTCAACTTAAGATCTTTCTTGATGCCCTGTCGGGGTTTCATCGTCGGTTCCATTTGCAGACCTTAAAACCTCTACTTTTCGAGGGTTGCCTTCTCTTTGAATTTCGGAGGAAAAAGTCTTAGCTCTTGGCCCCTTTTTGCCCTTTCTCTTATCAGTTATTTTCCTAATTGTAGGCCTTCTTTGGATGTGATTAGGATGTTCTTTTTTAATTTAAAATTGTCCGATGAGTTCTCCATCACCTTACTGGATTCTCAGTATGTTTTGATAAAATTGCGTAATGATATGGATTGCTGCAAAGTTTTCTCTCACCACTCATACTTTGTTAGTAACTGTTTCATGAAATTAACTAACTGATCTCCATTTGTGGATATTTCTGAAGAATCCCCCATTGTTCCGGTTTAGGTTTCATTCCCGAATCTCTGCCCACACTTTTTTGCACCTCGTATTCTACACGGTCTTGGTTCCAGTTTTGGTCGTCCCCTTCGTATTGATACTCCCACCGCAGTGGCCTCTCGTCCATAGGTTTCTAGAGTATTGATGGAGCTCGACATCACGAAACAGTATCCGGATAGTGTTTGGATAGGCCATGAAAATTTTGGTTATATTCAAAGTATTTTGATGGAAGAGTTTTCATCCTTTTATGATCATTGTAAATCTTTAGGTTATTTTAAAAAAGAATGTGTTCACCTTCATCCTCATTTAATTAAGGACCATACTATGCCTAGGGATAATGTGAACAATGTTGGTGGTATGTTGGATTCTCGCTTACGTAACGCTCTCATTAATGTGGGTGATATGCTTTCTAATGATGTGCATGATAATGTCCAATGTGTGACTTATCATTACATGATAATGTGGATGCTAGTGTTGCGGGTCATTTGGAAAATGAGATTATGCTTCATCCTTTGATTGTTGCTGATGCGGGGCATTCGTCTGAGCCCGTCCATTTTAGCTCTAAAGACCCTGTTGTTCTTCCTATTATTGGTTCTGTGTCGGAGAAGGATTGTAGTATTAAAATTAATACAGCGGGTATATATTTAATTGATCATGTTGTGCTAAACTATGGTAATCATTGTGCTTCTCCTTTAGTGGATTTTTCTTGTGCAGTTCAAAAGGATGGTGATGTAATTATTAATGAGGTGGCTAACAAATTGGCTTTAATTTATACTGATAAATATCAACCAACTACTTCACCCAGTGTTGTTGAGAATGTTTTTTGCAATGTTAATACGGTAGTGTTGAATGGATCTTCTAGTAGAGCTAATGATGATTCCCCCTTGCCATCTTCGAAGAAACGACTTTGTTGACTAATATTGTGATACCGAATGAACAAGTGCCTTTTATAGATGTTCTGATTTCTCTTATTTCAAATGATGCTTTGAAAGCCCAATTATCATTGAACATGAATGATACCTTTTTGGATCATTTGGGTTGGTTGGATGGGTTTGTTTACTCGCCCTGTGGACTATTGGGGGAAGAAGTGGATGACGCGGTGGATGAGTTTCTTGCGATGTATATTCTGAATGTTCTGAATGTTGGTAGCATCATTGAAAAAACTTTTTCTCGTGGTGGAGGCAAATGGGGTAGGAGAAAATCTAAAGGAAGTAATTTATTATGTTTCTTGTTTCTATATGTTGTTGTTGGCCTCCTTTGTCGTTTCTATTTTTGGGTTGGTGATGCTTCAATTGGTAGCTGGGTCTTTTGTTGGGTTGAGGTCTGTTGGGTGTTTGGGTTTGGGCTGAGTTGTTTTGGGTTGTAAAATTCAAAAAGAATTTTTTTTTTTTCCGTCTTGGCTTTTCCTTTTTTTATGTATTGTATGTGCACTTTTTTTTGGATTAGCAATGGTGGGGCTACTATGTTATTTGTCCCTTTTCATTTTTTTGATATGATTGGTTGGATTTGCATGGTAGGGTTGTTGGCATGTTGGTTTTGTCTCTTGGCATGTTTGGGGTTTGGATGACTGCTGCCAGATGGATCCTTTACTGGTTGTTGCAGCTCTTTTGCCTAGAGGGTTGGCTGTCAGCTACTGTTTTGGTTTCCCTTTTATTTACGTCTTCTTTCTTCATGGCTTCCTCTTGTGCAGGTTGATGTTGGCAAGCTGTTCTGACTCTTTGCTATCTTTGCTGGTTGGAGCAGATTGCTACTCTTTTGTTGCTCTTGCATTCCTTTGTGATCCAACTCTTTGGTGGCTTAGGTCTCTTCTACTCATTCTGGATTGCTTGTTTAGTTGCTTTTATTATTTTTCATTTTCTTATAATAGATTGAATAATTAACTCATAGGTTTTGCTTTAAATATTGTATTTTAAATAACTAATGAATCATTAAATACTTATATTTTTTTTAAAGTGGGTTTTATCAAAAAATAATAATAATAATAAGAGAGTTTTTTTTTTTACATCACATATGTAAACTATAGGAAAAAAAAACTTTTTTTTTTTTTTGTTGAGATATTTTCATGGGGCTGTCTATTATGCTTTTACCATTAGAAATCTAATTAAAGGTATTTTAGGAGATGCTCACTTTATCTTTCATGCATTCCTTTTTCAAATAGCATAATTCTTATTGGTAAATCATATTTCTCAACTCGGTGTACTTAATGTCTCCAAAAATTTCATTTGATGAGCATGAATATCAAAGCATTATTTCATATTGAAAAATCTAGAAATTAAATTCAGGTAGTTTTAACTCTAACTGCAACAACTAGTTGCCAAACTGAATTTCTAAATGAGACGAACCCAATAATATCAAAGGTGGCTCGATTTTGAGCCCTAATGAGCTCAAATCATTCACATCATCACCTAACCATCTCACTCGATTGTTTTAGTTTATTCCATATGAACTAATTATCGTTGTACGATTGTTATCGTTCGACTACCATTATCTATTTGTTATTATCCAACCACTATAATCTGACCAACATCATCTGAATGTCATCACCATCTCTCTGTCACTTCTCCCGCAATATCTACCAAAACTATAAGAAACCAAACTATTGCTCCCAATTTCATATTTACATCTTCTACATGTGGGAAAAAAATGAACTTTAATTTGAACTATGATGAATTATTTCAACAAAATCTTGTCATATAATTTTTTTCCTTTCAGATTTTCCATTTAAAATCTTTCATGTCTCTCATATTTCTTTTATTTTATTTTTGTGTATTAGATAGTCATGTAAAACTCTTTATGCATCATTATGAATTTTCTAACATACAACAATCCTACTTGAAATAATATGCATATCATTTATTCTTAGTTTGTATTCATTAGAAACTTTAAATTACTTTCATAATTAAAAGAGAATAATGTCTATCACTATTAACTAGTATTAAAGATTAATTTATGAGCAATGATACTTATAAAACCTTATCAATATACTTAAGAAGTTGATGCATTTTGTAGTCCATATAATTCAATTAATTAATAAAATAACAAATTTTCTATACCCAAAAATATAAAGGTTTTAATCACCTTATCAATATCCTTTTTATTTATTTTCAAAAATCATTTTTATGCAATTACACCACCTTAAAGTTAAATTTATTTTAATTATAACAATATTCAATTATAACATCATTTATTTATTCATATTTATTTTGATATAAGGGAGTAGTTGATACCTCTAAAATTCATATATAAATTTAGAATGTGTTCTTGAAATAGAAAAAAAAAAACTACTTAAAATGAGTAGATAGCCAAGTTATGTTGAATGCACTTTCCCTAAACCCTAGGGGTGTCAATTTCGGGGCACGGGTCGAGTTCGGGTCGAACCAGAACTGACATGGGTTCAAACGGGTCGACCCTAACCCGACCCAGGTAGACAAACGGGTCGGAAATCCGAACCGGACCCGACCCGAAGGGTTGCCGGGTTGACCCGACCCGAACCTTTTTTGGGTTCTCCCGGCAGGCGCGAGGCAGCGGGCACGGGCGCGGGCACAAGGGCACGGGCGCGGGCAGGGCGTCGGAGCGGCGGCGTCGGCGGTGAGTCCGGCCGGTGGCGGCTAGGGCACGGCGGCAGGAGGTCGACGGCGAGGTCGGGCTTGGACGGTCGGGAGAAGAGGTAGGTTTTCTAAAACCCTTTCTTTCTCTTCTCTGTGAATCTCTTGAGTGTGCGTCTGTGTGTGAGAACTGAATGAGAGAGGGATTTACTATCGTGAGTGAGGCGGTGAGCGAATCGTCGTGAGGTGGGACCGACAGAGGCGATTGTGTCGTTTGGGTATGTCGGTCGGAGGAGCGGTTTGTCCGATCTGGCGTGCAGCAGTTACAGTCAACATTCACAAGCCCATAAGATATTAAATAAATCATATGTAGCATAAACAAGAGCGAAACCAGCTATAATTTTTAGGAGGGATAAACTTATAAGTAAAAATGTAGAGATTTCGCAGATATGTCTAAAGTCCAAAGGGAAAGCACCCCCGGAATAAATTTTGGTTGTAAGAATATTTTGAATTCTCTTAACTATTTCTCTTTGTATTTGATTCATCGTTCTCTAACTATAACACGTCTACACAATGCGTTTAATTATACTGGGAGCAATTGCCTAAAAACCATAATAGCAAATCGGGCAATTGTAGAACAACCCTTGTAATAAAGATTAAAAAATAGATGACAGTGGATAAACTACCTAAAAAATTATATATAATTGCCCACACCCATATTTTAGATAGATCCGCCCCTGAGTATAAAATTTAAGATATATATTAAAAAAAAGTCTTCCATACTCTATTAAATAAATGTAAATATATCGGGCTTTCAACACGGGCTTCATTTGTGACGATTTTCTTATAGATTTTTAAAGTAATTTTTTACTACAAAAATTTCTAATTCACGAAATTTTTAGAAATTTTTTACTAAAAAGATAGTTTTAAAAACAGTAAGAAAGATGTTCCAAACATAGTCCTAATCTCAACTCTCAATAACTTCAACAAAGAAAATGTTTTATGCGGGATTACAGAAAAAACAAGTAAAAGCAGTATCTGCAAGTTTTTTATCTTCCAGTAATGTTAAAAATATTTGAAAGGCATCATACTTACAGGTCTGAATAGCCATTCTCCCCAAGAGTGAAGCTTTTCATTGTATGGAAAAAACAAACAAAAAGACTTGCGAGCAATATTGAGGTTTTCAGAATTGGAAGGAGAGTTGCTGTTCCATGCGATAAAATTAGGTTTCCTTTGAAGGCGCCTTCTTTGCAGCCTCGGCTGCAGCTTTCTCTGATTCAATCTCAGCAACAATTGCATCGATCTCAGACTCCTCAAGCTGGCGAAGACCATGTTCTTTTGTCATCACAGCAATCTCTATGTTCTTGCCCCCACTCTCAACGACCTGTATTAAATATAAATGAATTTGGATGGTTTTCGAGTTTTAAAATCTGAAAGAAAATTTGAGATAAGAACAGAGCAAAATACATTATAAATATTTAAGTCAGAAAGTATTCATATTATATGGTTCATGATTGCATTCAATAAGCTTCCAGGAGTGTAAAAAAATAAGACATGCAGGAGTGTAAAATCTTAGCTTGATAACTGTTAAATTACTTGGTTATTTAAGCAACAAGGAAAACTACGTCAATTGACTCATTCTATGAATATTGCTAATCAAGCATGTCTAATTAAGTGAGAGGTGTGTCTGCATCAAAATTCAAAATAACCAAATTGATGGGAATGTAATCTATACACAGTAAAAACAGCAAGAACGAAGAGAAAATTGCAGCAAAAATCGGCGAGAACATTTTTTTTATATCAGCACAACAAACCAAGATACAAGTTAATCTACTATTCGAGAGGTAGATCGGCTCTCCAAAAATTCTAGACGCTACTAGAAATAACTCCAAAACAAACTACAACAAACACAAATAATCTCCTCATCCTAACATAACCCAATTAACCCTAATATAAAAATTTCTAATTCCCTCCCAACAAAATCTGAATTCAACTCATCCCGTCTTTCCTTAAAATAAACTTTTTCTAATTTCCTCTCAAATCTGAATTCAAATAAACCATCTTTCCTTAAATAAACTTTCATAATTCCTTTTTAATTTTTGCCTCTACGAAAATGCTGCATTATAATTCGTCATAGGGAGGTTACGATTACAGTTGGATAACCAGCCTAGAGCTAAAAGACAACAAAAGCATCAATCAAAACAAAATCGAAGCTCGAAAAATCGGACTCATCTCTTTGGTGGAAAAAAACAAACCAAGAAACAAAACTGTTGCTCGTTTTCTATTCTTTCCCCAGCATTGTCTTCCACTCCATAGCAGAAAGGAGCTTACAATGCAATAACCTAAACAACCTGCTTTCAAATAACTAAAACCATGAGCAACTATTCTAGCTCATAATCCCCTCCCCCTGCCTCTGATTAATGCTGCAAAAGCTCACCCCCATCGCTGCATTGATTATAGCAGCCGAATAAGAAAATAGAACTTATAGTTCCCTCCAGTAAAAAATTAATGGCGGAGATAATTCCTTAAGTTCGAACTCCAAAATCAGGCGAACTGAAATCAATCATGCATGAAACTATTCTACGCATGTGAACCAAATGTAAATCTAGGAATCAAATGCAGCAGTTAAACTCCATCTGGACGATCAGACTGCTGCCACCTAGACCAAGAAAAACCCAAATTTAAAACATGCGCAAGCACAGATAAGTCGGAAGGAAAACTGCTAGACCTTAACACATGAATCATAAGACTGATAAAATGAAGTCAAATTAAACCTCAAACCATCAATAAAACAAACAAAACTAAAACCATTATTTAATTAAATAAGTTAAATTGTAAAATTAATCAAATGGATTAATCGAATTTAATGAAATCAAAGGCTTCAAACCAATTTACCAGGCATAACAAATCTAACTCAAATAAAGCCGACGATCAAATCAAATTAAAATGAAATAAAAAACAAAATATTAAATATTTAAATCATTGATTAGAATTAAGAAACCTGGAATCCAAGAACTGTAATAAAAAAATAAATAAAACTTCAACCAAAATCAAAATCAGAAAATAAATTTAAAATAAATAATTAAACAAACAAAATTAAAGATTAAAAAAAATAACAATTTAAGGAAGTAAACACATTTAATTCAACAAAACAGAATACAATATATAAATCATAAAAACTAACAATCAAAACCAAAGTCATAATCAAACAAATGTAATGGTTAATCAAACTTCAATCAAACCAAATAACATAAAAAAATAAAAGAATCGAAACATTTTATCAACTAAAATCAACACCATACAAATCCTTTCATAAGTTCAAATTCACTAAATCAAATTCAACAAATCAAAATTTAACAGATTGAATTGATCAAACAAATTAAATCAATTAACAAATATCAAACAAAGCAAAAAATTTAAATCGTATCAAATCAACTAATTCAAATTGAAGTTTATTAAATAAAATCAAAATTAAAATCAATAAATCAAATCATTTCAAAACAAAAAACATAAATCAAAATCAAAATCTATTAACCAAAAAAAAATTTAAATCATAAAACTGACTTCAACCATACATTAAACAAACTAAATCAATTAAACTAATCTTACAACAAATCATATAAAACCATGTCAAACAAATGGTACTAACACATTAAAATCAAACCAATGGAAACAATTGAATAAACCAATGCTAACCAGATTCAACAATTGAATAATAGAATTCACCTTAACTAGATTCAACACCTTGGCAACTCACAATGGAAGTGATGAGAAAGTTAAACAAAACCAGCCCAAAGTAGTTAAGAAAGGATGGTGACAAAGGTGATATTGAATGTCCATTTCACAAAATCTATTTACTACATCTAATTAGCTTAGGAACACCAAGAAGTTTGTACAATATCCTATTACAACCAATATAAACTACAAAGCTAACTTTTAGGATACTTATTTAAAAATTTGTGTATCCATGCACATCAATTGCTGAAAAAGAAAAATGTCAAAGAATCTTGAAAATATATTAAATTAGCACCCCTTGGAAGCTAACCAACTAATAGGAAATAAATACAAACAAAATCTACTAGGAGACATGAAAACAAGCATAAGATATGCGTAAAATATGATATGGCGCAAAATATACCAAACTTTTAAGAATTAAAACATGGAAAAGCTAATAAACATGTATGCATATTCATAATTAAAGTTGCATATATAATTGAGCCTACACAGCAAAATATTCCTCATTTATATTTTACTAACAACAAAACCCCATCAAACGCAAGTGAATAATTTATAGCCAATAATAAAGTGATAATGAGTCAATAGCTCATAACATGTACTAATAATATACACAGTTTAACACAAGATTATAATTGGCTTATGTGACTAACCATTTGTACACTTATTGTCATTATGATTATGTAACTTGCAGAAGCAATATCTTTTAAACCATGCAAAATCATGAACATCCAAGAAACTAAACCAATTTCTTGAAGTTATCAATGGTGATAAATAATATGGAAACCCACCCATGTCAATTAAACCAAATTGTATTGCTTACTATAAAAAAGGATGCATGAGCTTCATATCCAATTATCAAAATTGGCTAATGATGTGGAGAAAAGTGCACTCCTAAACCAAGCCTTATGGGCAATAGATCATAGATGTTACATAAATATAATTTAATTTTCATGTACAAAGGCTTGTCGAATATTCTACATTCTACATATTCATGACAAAATTTAGGGGGGTGGAGGGCATGTTGGTGGGGATTTGGGTGAAAGGCTTATGTCCACTTTATAGTGCACAACCCCCCCCCCCCCCCCCCCCCCCCCACACCACCACCCCCCCCCCCCCCCCCCCCCAAACTTCCTAACTTCTATCTATTCTTTCAACAATCTTAACAAACTTCCTAAGCAAGGATTTTTTACCAATATGAATCATAATTAAAGTTATTCCATATAGCGCCTGAGCAACATCTTTGTCAAAAAGACGGATGTGAGCCTTCAACCCCTACCGATGAGTCCCTAAATGACCAATGAATATTCAATTCTAATATAGGTCTTGAAACAAGGGTGGGGGCATATAGAACAAATAAGATGGTGAAAAGCTATTCAATTCCCCTCTCAGCTTCTTCAATCTTAACAAAGCATTGATTTGCTATAGCACATTACTCCAATGTGGATTTGTTTTATAGGGGTGTGGTGACTTAGGTGTACTTCAAAAAAACCATTATGTTTCTTAAAATGACGAATTACAGCCACTACAACTTGCACTAGATTTTTGCACAATATGATGAATAGTAAATTATGGAGCAAATGTATGATATATTAAGCATAACAATGTAAGCAAACTTTCAGGATCATGTTACTCTTTCAAAAATAGTGATAATATATGAAATCAGCTATATGTGTTCATGAAGGGATGAGATAGAGGAAGCCTAACAGGACATCTGTTGCACATTAAAGCAGCAAAATCATGTAATAGCCCATATTTCATAGTTCGATGGCAGAAATATGAGTCCTCACAATGAAGATAAATAGATTACAAAACACTCATCACAAAGGAATCTTTTTCTGAAAAATCATAAATCCTAGCAAATAAATGAGAAGCCTAGGCTATCAAGTTCCTTTTGATGTTGCTTCTAATAATACAATAGATATTCAAATTTCGAAGTTATGGATTTTTGTCCTATCATTCCATCAACTACCTTTCTCAAAGAATAAAAACCAATCTCCATCTTCTCACACACATATGAGTCTTTATTTGTCACCAAGATGATAAAAATTTCGCAACCTATGAACATTTGGCACATATATAAGCAAATCAATGGGAATCTTAGTGAGGCAAAATGACAGATAATATACCACTAGGGATGGTACCATTTCAATGATAAAAGAAAATATTTTCAAACATGACATAATAAATAACAAATTTCTTGGCATTATCGATCTTCCATCACAGCCTATTGAGGGATAAGCTATGTCATTCTTAAAGGAGAGAAATCTTCAAGGTTGAAACAATGAAATTCTTTATTATCAGAATCAGTATTATCATGTTCAATTACAAAATATGAGGAAAATCAACTAATGCTGAAGTACATAGATTTGATGGCCTTAATATCTCCTGTGAAAGCAAATTGGCTTCCACGCTAATGCTTACCAACCTCAAAAAGAAAAGTTTTCCGCTAAAATTTCCAGTTTAAAGATTATTCAAATAGTTTTATCATGTAAGTAACCATGACAGCAAAATGGAGGGAGACAGAGTCATCACACGCCACTTGACACTGTGGTTTAGCAGTAGAAATGAGGCAAAATGGCGTGCGAGGAGTAGTCTAGGAGAAATGGGAATATGCGCTCAGCAAAAGATACTTATCTGCTGCATCACTGACTGTGATGTAAGAGAAATCAAACACTCAAATACCTCCGCTGCAGCACTAACTGTGATGTAAGAGAAATCAAACACTCAAATACCCCGTGCATATATCGCATAAACTTTCCTAAAAATTAGTGCAACCTCTCCTACAAGATCATCTTTAATCTGCCGTAAATAAAACAAATTAGCGGTGCTCAAGGTTGTTCAAGTTTTACATACTCTTTTTCTGGCTTAAAAACTAAAGAACCATGGGAACTGAGTGATCAGGCAATGCAACTTTAACAGCGAGGAAAAAAACAACTAACCTCGAGCAGCGCCCGTATCGCCAGCTTGACTGTCTCCTGGCCCGACGTCTCTTTGTAGTTCTTCTCGAGGAACTCCCTCATGGAATTCGAGTTCCTCCCGGCAGCGTTGGCCTTCCACGCCGAGAAAGTCCCCGAAGGATCTGTCTGGTAAAGCGACGGCGCCCCGGTGTAGGGATCAAAGCCGACAATAAGGGTTGAGAGGCCAAAAGGCCTAACACCACCGCTCTGAGTGTACTTCTGCTGCAGGCCGGCGATGTATCGGGTGATGTACTCGACGGTCACGGGATCCTCGAGCGTGAGACGGTGGCTCTGGCATTCGATCCGGGCGCGATTGATCAGGACCCGCGCGTCAGCTTTGAGACCCGCGCAGGCTAGTGCGATGTGGCTGTCCAGGCTCGCGATCTTCTTCATGGTCCTGTAAAAACGAGCGACCAAGAGCAATGTTCGAGGTCCAGAAGAGGATGACAAGTAAAACCATAGAGGAATGGGAGATAGAAATGAAACCTGGAGTCCTGTAGCTTTGGCGTCGCCTTCTTCTCGACTCCAAGGACGATGGTGTCTGTGCCACGGACGCCAACGGCGGCGTTTCCCTTGCGGACGGCCTCGAGAGCGTACTCCACCTGGAAGAGATGCCCATCTGGTGAGAAAACGGTGATCGCGCGGTCGTAGCGTGCCATGGCGTCGTCTCAGAGCTCAACAGATCGCTAGGATTTTATGCTTTCTTTCTTCTGGTCTCTTCCAAATTGCACAACTCCCGCTTCCAACGTCGCGGCCAGTATATTGGGCGGCCGCCGGCCTGCTTGGTGAAGAAGCCAGAGACGTATGAGAGTGGAAAAATCTTATGAACGACGGGTGCTCCGTTTTTATGAGCCGAATGTTATTGAAGTCATTTGATTGGCTTCAAGATGCGTGATTTCCGTTATTTTAGCGGACGTGATTCGTGAGATAATCGTCATGCGGGGATCAATTGTAGGGTATGCTATAGTTTTCCATGTTGATAAATCTCATATTGATATATCGGTTAGAAATTTTGACTATCAATCTAAGGTTTTGAATTCTAAATTGTATATATATTATCTGTATGAATTTGTTTTAATTAGTTTAAATATTAAAAAAAATTAAATCACAGCTCAAAAAAAATTAATATAAATATTTAGCATTTAAATTTTATTATTAACCCACATCATACTTAAAGTTATAAATATTAATAAAAGTGTTTCAATGGATACTGTCATTTCTGCTATGTAGAAATTAAGAAACATCAACGAGTGCAACCTAGTGTTGCACTTTTGATCTAAGTTATACACATGCATGTATATAAGTTATAATTATCAAAATAAAGAGTTAAATTACATCATCATTAACTCAAAATATACTTACAAGATTAACAAAATTAAAACTCCATTTTGATCACCATAGGTGAACTCAGTATTAGGCTTAGTTTGGGACAGCCATCTTACTGCTTCTTAAAGTAGTTTTTTAGTATAAAAATTTTAATTTTTGTACTTAAAAATTACTTTAAGAAGCAATAAAAAAAGATGTCTCAAACGAAAACTAATATCTTACTCATTGGATGATATCGATTTATTGTAGAGCTTGAAATATTTAGAAGGATATTGATTTGATAGTGAGCTGTGGTTGACTGTCATTAGCTCCATAAACCATAATTCAACCAAAATCTCCTTAACAAGTTGATAATATTGAGTAAAAGCAATACAAGTATAATACTTTCCACACAAGGCACCTAACATAATACAGGTTTGTATTGAAAATTTGTATCATCATCTTTTAATAATTCCAATCATGTTTGTTATCTTAGATTTAACTCTTTTTCACTATAATATTACTTTTATAAGCTTCTTTTCGCATCAAAACTTTATTATTTTGTTGATTGGGCTACATTCTCAATTGTATTTATTACGTACGTCAATATCTTCATTTTATGTAGTTTTCCTATGTTTTGTCTATATTAATACAGTTGGATTGTATTCCTCTTCATTGATCTTTCCCATGACGACCATCTGCTGGCTCTAACAAAGTTTCGTCAATGAAACTTTGTGCAGCTTCCACCCTAAAAAGAGACTATTATAAACTTTAATCGTTGTTGTTTTCCATTAAACAGTTTTAGGATATGTCCAAGCATGAAGTATTTAAACAAATGGGAGATTTAGCACTCAAAAATTATTTTATTTATACATTTACCATCTAAATTTTACTATTTATTTAATATACAATTCCATTAACCCCATATTTCAAGCATATAACTACTGCTCCATTTGAGAAGAAATTATTCTGTGCAGAGACCGAACACAGAACGTCATCCGAAGACCAACCAGAATGCAACACATCAGCGGTATCGGGACGGGGTACCAAACGCAGGGTCAACGTGCCTCATTTTAATTGGTCTCCGAATGACATTCGGCGCCTGTACAGACTAATTTTTCATTTCGGGATAATTTTCCTATTGCTTTCTAAAACAATTTTTAAGTACAAAATTTTTTGAGCTGAAAAATTTTATACTAAAAAATTATTTTAGAAAATAATAAGAAAACTATTTCAAATGAATCTCAAGTAATCGAAAAATTATTAGGTGGACACCATCCTGGGATAAATCAGTATGCACCATGTCATCATTTTACGTTGTACCGGCGTTGTGTATCAATGTGACGTGACGCATCCTAATTCGCCTCCAAACTACTTGGTAACCGCACGTAATAATTTCTCCGCCTCACAAAAACAATGCAACTATTGCATTTTTGGAGAGAAGGTTACTGCAAGATCTCATTGGGTCAAGATCATAAACACAATTGATAGCTTATGCAATCCCAAAACTCTTGTCGACAACAAATCTAGATGAGATCTGGCCATTGAAGGGACAAGCAACCTTGATACGAAATCCTCAACAATGGAAAAGAATTGAGTAACAAAACAATCAGATCGGTGCAATCACTATCTTTCACAAATATTTATGATAGAATTTTCATCAACATTATTACAAAGAAACTTCACTACTTCAATCCACTCCACAGTACACCAAAATCCCAAACTAATAAAGAAGCTAAAATCTATACAATCCAACTTCATAGAATTCCATCTCTTCGCACGCATCGATTAAAGTAGCTTTGCAGGTAAACAAAGAAACTATTGTCATTTTTTGACTTGCTTACTAGCTTTCAACTCAGCAGCAGCTGATTTGGCAAATGACTTCGCTAAAGTCTTCGGTTTAACGGAATTCTTAGGATTAAGTGCTTTACGAATCTTAAATACAGCCAAAGCAGTTCCTAAGGCATGGCCAGCAGCGCCAAGCCCTTCATGTGTCATGTCCGCAGCCTGCTCTCCATATCTGCAACACCAACAGTACTAAATTAGCTATACATTATAAAAATTCAATTATCCATACAAATATAATTGTTGGAGTGCAACTTAAATTGTATCGATCTACTTAAGCTTTGTTTGGAATGACTTTATTACCGCTTCTTAAATTAATTTTTTAATATAAAAATTAAAATTTTCTACTAAAAAATTATTTTAAGCAGCAGTAAGAAAGTCATCCCTAACAAAACCTTAACTTCTGCTAGTTTCAGGTAAGAAATGCAAGCAATACCTGTGTGACACAACCCCTGTTGTCACAACTGACGATGTTTGCAACACATTCCTTCCAACCACTTCAACGGCATCAGAAACCTTACCTGAATGGATAGAGAGAATCAGCAAATTAGATAATATTTTCATTTTAAAACTAAGAAAACAAGATCAATATCCTAAAAGACAGTCAAAACAACAATGAGTAATGTATTTAAATTAAAAAATAGTAGAAAGTCTGGCCCAGTAAGAATAGGTACTAAGAGGTGCCAAGAAAGAGCTTAGGAACTTGAAAAATATTATGAAACTGATTAATAGAACACAAGCACCAATTACTAGTTTAAATATAATTCAATTGCACCAATTACTAGTTTAAATATAATTCAATTCCTCTCAAAGTTGCTTTAAATTTAGGCTCAGCGAGGACTGGACTAGGATGCAACAGGGAAGGCACTTCGGCTTTCTTTTGGGATGGCTTTTTTTGCTGCTTCTTAAAGTAGCTTTCTAGTACAAAAATTAAAAATTTTGTATTAGAAAGCCATTTTAAAAAGCAGTAAAAAACCGTCTCAAATGAAGCCTTCATAATCTAGAAAGAGTTGGGTTTTTGGTTTTACTTGCATGCCTAAAGATCCTCACATTCCACGTAAGAAAGAAAAATTGTACCAAACTAGCCAAAAGCAATATCATGGTAGCAAACATTCAACACCTGACAAGCGTTGCAATTGAGCAACCAGATCCTGAAGATTTAATAATTATTATATATAGTGATTACTTTAAAAACCAGAAAATTCAAGACACATTGAAGGATTGACTAAATAAAGTTCTCTAAATATAGAATCCTTCTTCTTTATTTCTAAAGCCTACATAACTACAAATGAGTTTTTGATTTCAATATATTTGGTGAGAAATATCAACTCCACAGAGTTTCATAAAATCAGAAGTGAAAAAGAAAATCATGATTCATGTTTCATCCTCTCAGCCTTTTTTTTTTCTTTTCCTTTTTTTAAATATTCTGTTAGACCGGCCCTAGCGAACCGGCCTAACCCCAACCAGCCTCTTTGAAGAGGCCGGTTCTTTGCTACAGGAGGAGGGTGGCGACATAAGGAGAGAGGAAGGAGTGGGGCCCACTAAGGATTCAAATTCAAAGAAATTGAAGGCAAAGGAGGGGCAGGCAAGGGCAAGGGAGTAATTTGGCTTTAAATAATTAATTGTATGCTTTAAGTATGGGATGAGGAATTAGGGTTAGGGTTATGCATGAATTGGAGTTAATTCCTTGGAGTTTTATTGGTGTCTTGGGCTCTAGATTCAAAATTTAGAGATTGAGAGACGATCCTTCTCTCGAATTGAGGATCAATTGTATCTTGTTTGGAGTTTATTTTGCTTTGTTTCTACTATTGCAATCAGTCTTCTTAAATCGATTTCCTCCGTCTTTTCTTGTTTTTCTATCTGTTTTGGCTAATTATTGCTAGGGTCGCTCTCAAACTCAAATATTTCCTCTTGGGTTACTTGCTAACTCAAGTATTACCTATCATATTCCTTCAAACCTTCAACCAAGTGGAGGTTGTAGTAAATTACAGAAAACAGGAAATCAGATCATGTACGAATGTTTTAGTTCTTTCAATCCCCGGCCTCTCACAATATATGTGCATATGTGGTACTAGTTTATGCATCAACTAAAAAACTAACGAAGTTTATGCATTAAGCATTAAATTTTAACAAAGTGATTTAAAATTTGGGGCTGAGAATTTCCTCAAATTCTACATGAAAATATAGCAAAAAGTACCATGACCATAAAATTCTAAAAAAGAATTCAAAATTCAAAGCGCTCAGTTTTTAATTTATAATTGACAGAACCTCATTTTTAAGAATTTATCTTATTAACCATAGAAAATGTGGAAATTCAGCAGCAAAAATAGGAAAAAGGCTATGTAAAATGACGACATACCAAATCCCTCTAGAGTAGCAAGAGCAATCTCCCCGGGAACAAGTCCAAAGAATTTCTTGCCTGCCTTTGAATTTACAATAGAACCCGTGACGAATCCAGATACCTTAACGACACCATTAAGAACTCCAGATACCACTTTCTCTGACATTTTTGTGACTGTCTTAACCCTGTCAAAATCACCACAAAACTATCAAATAATAAAAAAACATTAAATTTTCAGTTTACTAAAACATGCACACATGGGAGAGTATAAAACTAAAGCGAGACTGAAGTTGGGCCAAACATGCCAATGGTCTAATCCCTTTTAAACAAAAAATTTTCATTTAATAGGTGAAAGCCAATCACTTCGTATTTGAACACCAATACATATCCATTGTGAATTAAGCTCGGTTACTCTCAAGTGCATTAACAATCCCACTGCCATAGGAGAGCTTTCTGCATTGCCATCATGTCTATGACAGAAAGTCGCTACATCCAGCTCATAGAGGAAGCAATGACTCAGGCTAGCTACCTATGCCTTTCCTTTCTACATGAGGGAGGAAGATAAGAGCAAGAAGGCTAGGTCCCAACCTCTTCCACTAGAAATGGCTTCTTCTCTTAAGGCTTCTTGCCAGTAGTGATAAAAATCTTGCTTATCTATCTTGAGAAAGAGGATAGATAGAAAGATAACTAGATCAATGTCTTCGTCAGCTATAACCGAAGACAAGAGGACGACCAAAAAAGGCAGGACAAATGATAAGACGATGCATCATTGCGTCTTCTCGTTTGAATCTATATATAGGGACGCCTAAGAACTCCTTGGCGTTTTTCACTACTTTTAAGTTGAAAGAACCAATTTCATTAAGAAGAAAAAGCCAAGCCAGCCACTAAGCAAGCCAGGTTTTTGCGATAAAGTGCGATACTCTCTGATTCAATAGAGTCTAGTCGATGGAAGAATCAGATTTTGTTCTATGAATAGAAAGCAAAATGAATTGAGGGCGTTAGCAGGAGCTACATTCCGACGGTTAGGTGAAAGGGTTTAGGTGCAGCACAGTTCATTCAATCCAACAATAACATAAACTTGCTTGCTCTAGAATTTTCTTAACCATAACTGAGCACCACAAAGAACCTCAGGAGCCACAAATCATGTGAACCATTTGATCCTAGACAAATCATGGGCTCTTACACCATTAGTTGGAGAGTATGTAACCAAATGTGTATTTGAGTTGGTGATTAACCTAGCTTTCAACACAAATTCATATATCTTGTATTTCAGCATCAACATATTTGATATAGAACTAAACCTAATTCTCTTGAGTGTAATAACGGAAAAAAAACAGCCTACTGAGTAAAAGGTAACAAAATAATAAAAATAATGATTAGGAGAGGAGCATAACAAAATAACCATTGTATGGATAAAAACATACCAATTTAAACAAAATGCATTAATTAAATCCATTTAACCAAAGGAAAAAAAAAAACAAACCTTTTCATTCTTTTTAAAGCATCCTTGCTAACTTCCGTCGGCTGGGAGCAGGGGCTCGTTCGTCGCTTCATCATTTCCTCGCCCCACTTAAGCCTATCAACAGTAACATCCCCACACCACAAAATCCCTCTTATAAGCTGTCCAGATCCTTTAGCAATCGCCTTCGCAACTGATCCACTATAGTCCTCTACATTGGGGGCAAGCGTCGTCCAATAAATCTCTGATCTCTTCTCCATTAGCTCTCTCTTTGGCCCATCAGCCATAGCTTCTGCCGGAGTCACCTCTTTTGCCACTGACCCATCCAACACCGATGATGTCGCCTTACCCGGCAGCTTCTGCACAGAAAAGCTGCTATACGCTTCCAAAACTCCGTCTAACGTCATCAGCAAATCTTCCTGCCCCTTCGACGCAAAAGTTAATCCATAGTTCAGAACCCCCTCCGATTCATCCTCAGTGATCTCAGTCTTAGGGACGTGGAGTGAGAAGAAGTAGTGCGAGTCGTCGAGCTTGACAGAGGCTTCGTCCTGTGCGAGGGGCCACTGGACGCCAGAGTCGTCATGGTCATCTCCGGCGCCTACGCGGGCAAGGACGGCCACGATGCTCTCACCCTGAACGAGGCGAACAACGGCGAACTCACCGGAAGCAATTTCAACGCTTTGGTTGCGATCAATGAGGTGGAGTATGGCGCCAGGAATGCGAAGAAAGGTCTCCTCAACCGGCGGTGGTAGGGTGGGTGCGGCGGCGTCGGAGTCCTGGAAGAGATTGGCGAGATCCTTCATGTCGACGGTGGGGTAGAGGGACGAGGGTTTAGTATCCGAAGAAATGGAAGGAGACGGTTGCTCTAAAGAGGGGTAGAAGGAAGAGGGCGAGCTATTGGAATTGGATTTAGGATTTGAGAGGAAAGCAGAGTCGATCTCAGGATTGGAGTCGAGTACTTTAGGGTAGAGTGGTTGTTGTTTCGCTTGATTCTGAGAAGACATTGAAGAATTGCAATGGTGTGCAAATTGAGTGACGTTACTGGATTCCTATATAAATGTTGAAGGGATGCGATTAAAGCCCGATGAGGCTTCGAGTGTAAGAAAAAAAATGGAGATTTGGGGGAGATGGAAGGGAGAAGACGAGGCGGTGACGCGCTACGTGTCGCTTGGCAGGCGGAGGCGGGTAAAGTAACTGCCAGCAGTAGTACAGATATCGGCCACGTACAGGACGCGTAGTATCCGAAAACTATTTAAATGGCATGATGGGAAACGATTGAGGCCTGAGGGAATACCACGGAAAATAAATATGGAAGAAAATTACCCTTTTAACCTCACATTTGTCTTGCGGAATAATTTCTTTAAAAAAAAAAAATTACAAGCACACCAATTTATATTATGTACCCATCGTTTAACTTGATTGTTGGGTGAGTATGGTTGGAACTCTCTAATTCATGTTTGATTTTTCTCGAGCACCAATGTCTTTTAAGTTGGGCTCAATCAAGTGCGGACCATGAGATTTCTGAGGTGGGTGTTTTTTCTAAATCAACCGATGATTAGTCACACCGCCAAGTGTTTTTTCGGAATAATTTCTTAAAATTTTAATATTTTATGTTTATCACTCATAAATAATTTAAATATTAAATATGTCACTTTTATATTTCATTCCTATCACCCATGACATTCTATAAACTTTAATATTTCATTTCTTGCACTTATATTGATCGATAGTGTTGACCTCGATTTTGCCTAGACCCGGGGCCTGGAGAGTTGACTTGGTCAAATTGACCAAGCCAGACCCCAAGACCCTCTCCAATGGGTTCAGTGAGTCGAGTCGAGTCTGTTAAGCCTGAACTTGGACCCTGGGTCAACCTGGTTGACTTAACCTGGTTGACCAAGTCAACCAGGATTGACCATTTAACCCCTTTAGGCCCCAAATCAATTTAAATCCAATCTAAACCTACTCATGGCTCGAACCCTCATATTCCTTGGTCTACTTGACTGGTTTGACCAAGTCAAGCTTTGACTTGGTCAAATCTAGCCATTAATAGGCTAAATTAACCTATTAAAGCCCAATTAGAGCCCATTCATTGCTCTAATCAATGCCAATTGAATCCCCAACGTTTTTAAACTCTAAATCCCGCCCAAATCACTTGATCTAGCCTGGTGATGGACGGTGGATCGAATCGTGGCCGTTGAGATTCAATTCAAGCCTTTAAATAGTGATTTTAGGGTTCCAATTAGAGGATCTTGCAATCTATTCTCCCGAAGCCCGAGATTTTTCTCCTGAGAGCTCTTGGGACTTCCTCCTACGATTTCCGATCAAGCCCGACGGCCAAAACTCCCGCCGGCGACGAACTCCGGCGAGACCGACCGCCCTCCCCCTTGCAGCTCGATTTACGGTCGATAGAGATAGTTTCGGAGCTCGAGTTCAACAGGAGATCTGTCCTAGAGGAGTCAACGAGTCCAACAAGCCCAAGATCTCCCGAATCCACCGTGTGGATTGAGGTATATCCCTAACCCTAGTTAGAACACTTAGGGTTAATTAGCGTCGTTGTTAGCATGTATTAATTCAAAATAAAACTTTCCCACTGTTGCTCTTCATGCATAGAACTTAGATCTAAAATTTCATGAGATTTGGTCCAGCCGTTTGGGAGAACGAAGCAAGAATAGCCCTAGGGTTTCGGATCGGGCGTTGCATGGCTTGCGGGATATCTGAACCGTTGATCCTGTGATCAACGGTTCGGATCGCGCCCATCTTTCTCTCACGCATGTGATTGATTGCTTGTCTTTCTTTCTTCAGTTTCTCTTTAGTGCCCTAGAGCCTCCAGATGCTGGTATGAGCCACGCATGTTGATTCAGCCCTTCGGACCTTTCTTCCTTTTGAGTAGGATTTCCTAGTCTATACCCATGTGTCAATCCCAATTTGGAAAAGATAATGTATGATCCTTAATCGAGAGTTTTCTCAGGCTCCGGCCCGGGATGTAATTAACCACGGGGGCTTGCGCCCGTGGGAAACTTGGCCCCGCAATCTACTTTACCCCACTCAATCTCTTGTATCGGGTGGGGGAAACCCGTGACTAGGTCGTGTATATTGCTACCCGTTGGGGTGTGTTGGCGACAGCCTCTATCCCCAATGGTTAGTCGTATGCACGATCCAATCTGCCCTCCCATCGACCTGTTCGTGTCGAGTGTAGAGGTCTACGATCGTTTTGTCCTACAGGGATAGTGCGGCCGTACCCTCTGCGTTCGTACCCCACGAGCGGTGCTCCTTCGGAGGTCCACAGATAGATGATAGGCATTAAATATTAAATCGCCTAAGGACTCTCGAAAGTTATAAAAATTATAAAAAATTTGAATTTAAATTCTACATTTACTTAATATTTCAAAAAATATATAACACATTATACTTTAATTAGGAGTGGTTTTGAGATAAAAATTTGTAAATATCTTTAATATTGTTGCGGGCTAGAATATACGCGGCGGTAGAGTTTGCAAATTCACGTCTGAGTGTTGTACGAATATTCAGCACACAAACAGAAATTACAAGAAGCTGATTCGTCCCACAAGTTAGGACAATCAGGTTACACTAAGTTTCTCCTGAATTAAAACAAAGTTGTGCAAAATCCCAGCGTTTCCCCAATATCCGGCAGAATTCCGGCGTATTCAGGAGGCGGAAAGAACTCCGGCGGTGATCGAGGAGGCGATGATTCTCCTTTCCCCTCTCTTCCTCTTCCCTTCTTCTTCTGTCTTCTTACTTGAGTCCCCTCTTGTGAAGAATGAAGGCTCTATTTGTAGTTTTTCTGGAGTGGCATAGCTCATAAATAGGCGCCAGATCAGGGTAAAATAGGGAGTGGTTGAATGGACGGCTGATATTGAATCCCTTGATCGTGCACCGTTCGTCAGACATTTAAAGGCCTTAGTGATGTCGGAATTCGATGATCTTGCACTCGTTGGATTCGTCTCGTCAATCCGTTCTATTCGACTATAATCTCGTTAAAATCGGAGACCGTTTGGTAACTCAAATTGTGGTACGAGCTTTCCAATAGCACTTCGGGTGCTTGATTTGGGCTCATTTGGGCTCGGATCGAGTTGAATTTGGTGTCGTTGGGTTCATATTTCCGAAACGCTCAGTTTGACTATAAGCTCGCTGAAATCGGAGTTCAGATGCTCTCGGATTTAATTTTTGAGGTTTCCAACTCGATTTTTGCCTCGAGATTCGTGCCCAATCAAGATAATTTTTGCATGACGTATCAAATATATATAATATCACTAAGTATTTCACTTATTTGATGCAGCTTTCTCAATCTCTGAGTACTTAGCCAAGTTGCAATCATAATTTGGATTATTTGAGGGTATTGCCTTCATTGACAAAGCTCTTAATGGAGCCTGGAATTTACCAAATTTTTTGTTCTGTTATCTGTCAAAAAAATTTTACTGTTTACCATAATTCCTCACTTGTGCTACAGGTTACTTGGACGGGAAATCCTAAGCCCTCTCTCAAAAATTATATGAGCTGTTTATTTCATAATTATGAGAAAGTTAGTTGGGCTAAGCAAGTGTGGCAAATCCTTTTCTTCTATAATTCCATGTATTTTGTTCTTCTTATTCTTGGATGGTTGAAAAAGTTCTGGTGGTCTACTCGACCGTAACATCTAACTTCTGAGCTGTGTCAATCTTTGACCAGAATGTCTCACAAATTTACCTTAGATATATCAAAAAAAAATTGTCTAGATGGGACAAGAAAAATTTGCGTTGAAAATTTTCAATATTAAACAGAGGGCCATCCGAATTCAGATTTCAACAAATTTACAGTCGAAATGAACATCTCGTAAAGATGAACCCAACAAAACTAAATTCGACTGAATCCGAGCCCAAATGGATCCAAATAGAGGATCTGAAGCACATTTGGAAGGTTCAAACCATAAATTGGATGACCAAATGATTTCCAAATGTGACATACTTATAGTAAAATCGGCCAGTTCAACTAGATAAATCTAACGAGCGCAAGATTGCCGAATTCTGACATCATTAAGACACTCAAATAATCAATACACGGTCCATGATCAAGGGAATCGATATCGGCCCACGTCTCCCGCCGACTACGATCCTTTCGACCAATATCACCCAACTACTGTCTTTCCAGCATCCATTGTCTACCGATTATGGTCTTTCCAACCAACGTCACCCAACTACAATCTTTTCGACCACCGTCACCTGACTACGATGTTTCTTATCTCCGTTGCCCGCCAATTACGATCTTTCCGACCTTCGTTGCTAGCTGACTATGGTTCTTCCGACCACCATCACCTGATTACGATCATTCTGACCACCATCGCTTGACTACGGTCCTTTTGACCTACATCGCTCGCAGACTACAATCCTTCTGATCTACATCTCTCGCCGATTATGGTCCTGTCGACCAAACAAACATGTCAATACTGATTATTCCAACTCCCACCATATAATGCACTCAATATAATGTACATTTGCTACATCAAGTCAAGGCCTTCCTCCTAAGAAAGGGCCTCATTTGTAATCAACTGCAAACACTAGTTGATTCATTTAAACTGGGTCAAGACTCATGATTTTTCGACCTTTTTATGGGTTTTCATGTCTATTGTCTCTTATGAACTCTACACCCCTATCTTTCATTTGTTTGTGTGATAAATCTTCGTATTAAGCTAGGACGTTAAAGCTCATATTTCTTTACTACCATGAATATTCAGGGACACAACAACTTTGAATGTGATTTCTTTTTCAAATTCTTTGCAAAATCTTGCCAATCATCTCTTAATTTCTTTTGATACCCAACAATAAGCAAATTTTTAATTATATTGAGGATTTCTTCTCAATGTCTTGAGATGGGAAAAAGCTTTACTATGTGAACATCAACTACTATATTTACTATATTTGGAGGTAGAGAAATGATTAGGAGATTAAGAAATTTCTTAACTCGCTAAATTTTTTAATACTATTTTGAAGACTAAAAAAGATGTCAGATAAGTTGAGAATGAGTGTGTTGATTCCTATTTTTAAAAATAAAGGTGATGCACAAAATTATTCGAATTATATAGGAATTAAGTTAATGTGTCATATTTTTAAACTATGGGAGAGAGTTATGGAGCATAGGTTGTGGCATGCCACTAATGTTTCTCAAAATCAATATGGATCATGTCGGATAGGTCTACTATGGAAGCTATACATTTATTGAAAAGTTTGATGGATAAGTACAGATAGAATAAGGAGGATCTACATATGATATTTGTTGATTTAGAGAAAGCATATGATAAAGTTCCAAGATAAGTGTTTTGGAAAATTCTAGAAAAGAAAGGGGTTAATAATGCTTATATTCAAGTCATTAAGGATATGTATGTAGGAGCTCTTAATTGTATTTAAACATAAGGTGGTTTGACCAAGCATTTTCCTATTTCAGTTGAATTACATCAAGGATCATCCTTAAACCCATATCTATTTTTCTTTAGTCATGGGAAGCATATTATAAGATAGCAAAGCCAGTGGCGTTAGGATTGGGACTTCTTTGGGAGCAAGGGAAGCAGATTCTGATGGAAGCAAAAAAAAATATAACAGAGAAAAAAAAAAAACTTTTCAGTTCTCTAAATACTTCACGAGCAAAGAAAAACAGGGAGCCTAAAATATCTCTTTTGCTTCTTCACCGAAAATATATAACCATAGGAAACACAAGGAGTTTTTAAAACTGTTCTAAATAAGAAAAATAAAATAAAATAACTAAATTGAAGTGTCACGTTGCTTGGTTTGAAAAAAAAATCCAACATATTCAAATTCAAATATTCATGGATAGCAGCTACGGCGGCGAGCATTCCTGCTCATTTGCGGCGCAGGATCAGATCACTTGAGATAGATTTGGTGGATTAGTTGTTGGGGTTTGCTTATGTGTGTTATTATAGGAGGCGGCGGGGGAGGTAGCGAAGCTAGTGGCGTCGACTCGTAGTGACTTTGGCTTGAAGAGGAGAACAGTTGAAGTTCATAACTTGTTGGAAAAGTTTGTAACTTTGTTGGCTGGTTTCCCTCATTAGAAAGTCATGTTTTCTTGCTTTCATTCATTTTGAGAGGCAAACTGAAATCCTCACTTTTGAGGAATTAAAATAAAATGCCTAGTTTTTCAAAACTTGATTTCTAACTTGATGAAATCACAAATCTTATATTTAATATTGTAAATTATAAGTTGTTTACTATCTTATATTTAATATTATACATTTTTGGATAATAATTTTAAAAAAAAAAATCAAACTGTCTATGCCGGTCTCAAGCCCGAATAAAAAAAGTTGAGAGAAAATTTTAATAAAATAATTTAGGCCCATAAATTTTTTGGCTTTGCCACTGGTCATGGATGTTCTCACTAGACATTTGCAAGAGGTTATACCTTGGTGCATGCTTCTTGCTGATGATATTATTCTTTTTTATAAGACTAGAGAGGGAGTTGAAGGTAAAATAGAATTATGGAGGTCAACCTTAGAGTCTAAAGGTTTTCGTTTCGGTAGATCTAAAATTGAATATATGCAGTATAATTTCAGTAGTAATAATAGATCTAGTGGGTGGATTGTGACTTTGGATAATCAAGTTATTAATAAGAGTACATGTTTTAGATATCTTAGGTCTATTATTCAAAGTGATGGGGAAATAGAATGGGATATTATTAGTAAAATTCAAGTTGGATGGTTGAAGTTGAGGAATGCATTGGGCTTGTTATGTGATAGACAAGTCCCCCTCAAATTTAAGGGAAATTTCTATAAGATGGTAGTGAGACTTGCGATGCTTTATGGTGCAGAATGTTGGCCATTAATAGAGAATCATAATATTAAGTTAAGTGTTGCAGAGATGAGGATGCTCAGGTGGATGAGTGGCTTTACTCTTAGAAATAGGATATGAAATTATCACGTGAAAAGGTTAGAGTAGCTTCAGTGGAAGATAAGATTAGAGAGAGTTGTCTTAAATGGTTTGGTCACATAAAATGGCAGCCTTCCGTTGACCCGCTTAGGAAAGTAGATGTACTAGATTTGGCTTATACTAAAAAAGGTAGAGGTAGACTTAAAAAGACTTGGTTAGAAAATATTTGAAATGATATTTCTTTATTAGATTTAAATGAGAATTTTACTCTTAACAGGACAAAGTGGAGAAAAAGGATTCATGTAGGCAACCACACGCAGTGAGATAAATGTTTGATATTGTTGTTGTTATTATTGTTAGAGGTAGAGAAATGGCATGAAGTTTGGCAATTCTATCAAAAGTATTTCCTCGCTCTTCACCTCATAAAAATTGTTGTAATTCACAAGACTGCTAATTGGAGAAATATGAAAGTATTCAAGAGGGTTGGACGGCCTCACTTTCAGGCAAGTGTTCCTGTCAATAGTTTATTTGACCATAATATGAATTTGATTTAGCTTACTAAGTCCAGCTATCCATCACCCATCTTAGGCCCATCTGTGCTACAACCTGTTATTTTTTCCTTAGTAAATTCTGTTAAAGTCATTTTGTCATCCTTTTTGGTCTATTTTTTGTTAGGCATGGAGATTTATAGAGAGAAAAAAACTGGTATATTATATCTAAATAAAAAAGGGATACATTGAAAATCTTCTTTGTAGGTTTAATATGCAGAATTGTAAATATGTTAGTACTCTATTAACAGCTCATTTAAGACGTTTATTTGCTTTATTTCTACAATCAGATGATGAGGTTGACTATAGGTCACATATTCCATATTCTAATGCAAGTGATTTTTCATGTACGCCATGATTTATTCACATCCAGATTTGTCATATGCAATCAATGTAGTAAGTAGATCTATGACTAATCTGGGTAAGGAACACTGGAGAGCAATTCAATCAATTTTAAGATAACTTGTGAAGCACTAATGATGATTGTTGGTAGTTTGCACTACTAATAAATCAGATTTTTGCAGCGCTTTTTCTAACCTACAGTAACGGTTTAAACACCTATGAAATTATTTATAGTGGTTTAGAGATTGCTGCAAATACACTGTATTTATGTTCGCTGGAAAGGCTTTTGCAAGAGTTTGGAAATCATTGCTGTAGGAAAGCTTCAGCAGCACTTTTAGTAAGGATTGAACTGGATATGGAGTATTTGTTTATGTTGATTTTAATTTTGTTCGAGACCTTCATAAAAGAAGCTCTTACTGTCTACTAGAGAGCTACTTTGCAAACTACATTTGTACTATCTACTACTACTAAGGCCAAGAACATGGCTATTACTGAGGCTTGTAGGTTATTTGGTTGAAGGGGTTGTTTGGCGAACTCAATGAAAACAACTTGCAAATTATCACTTTTTGTGTGATGAAGTGTTATTTTTCTCACCAAATATCAAATGTTTCATGAGAGAACAAAGCATATTGATTTTGTTGCCACTCCTTATTGCAAAGTTTGAGCATTGCTTAGACTTTGGCAATTGTTGTTGATCTTGGGACTTTCGTGTACTAAGTGGGAAAATTTTGTCAGGATGGAGAAAGCTCTTTGGTAAGAAATTTGGCTTAACATAACAGAAAAAACACTAAAAGAAAAATGAAGACGCCTTCCAATTACCAAACTTAAAATTTATTCCATTACTGCATTTCGAAGTTTAGCATCAAATTGTCAGAATTTCGTCAGGTGAAAACTTGCAGCACATGTTCTTAGAATTTCAACAAGAAAGTACGAATCTCCATAGGACCTAACTCCACAATTAAGGTAGAATTGTTCACAGGACCGCCTCTAAGCGGAGCTGGATGTCTTATAACGTCTCCTTCAACTCTCCAAATCTTTTTCTTCATTTCTGATTTGTTTTGATTTGCTGATAAGCTTGTTTCTTCCAGTTCTTTGATCTGCATTTCCAGCAATAACATGTGAAAATAGAAGGAACATATAAGAATTTCCATCATCTCATTTAGGGATTAAGAGAAATTTTTTCCCACAGGATCGAAGCATGATTTTTCCTAATTAAAAAAAAAAAACTAGAATCATAAGTTATATGGAAATATATCTTAAGGGAACGCCTCTCAAATCAAGCAATCCTATCTATGAGGATTTGGGGGATGTTTGGTTGTCTGCAAATAAGGGATAAAGTATTTCAAATGTAAGGGTCTTGAGAATATTAGTGTTTGATTTAAAGTAAAACAAATGTAGTGCAAACTTTTGATGCATTTGAAATTCACCTACTAATTTATTTTTGGTATTTTTAAAATTTCTTATATTTAAGTGAGTTACAAATACATCAGAAGTTCATTGCATTTTTCACAGGCCACCACCACCATCACCGTCAGCTGCCCGCTAGCCACACCTTCGGCCACCTGCATCCGGCCATAACGCCGCCAATGTCGGCCACCGACCACTACCTTTTTTTTACTTTACATTTCATTCATTTTACTTCAAACAAAACAAAAATAATAATAATCTCATGTACTTCTTTTACACTCATCCAAACAACTCCAAAATATTTATTTTACACTGCATTCCTTTTTACATTTTATTCTTTTTTTAGGCAACCAAACAACCCCTAAATGTTAGAGATGAAAAGGTAAAAGCAGAATTATCTGAGAGTAGGGAACTATGCCACTGGTGATAAAATGTTTAGTAAAATATATCATCATAGTTTTATGAAAAATCTATAATATCTTTGCTTACCGATGATACTTCTCATATTAAATCATCATTCAGATTGAAGATGATGCTGTTAGGCGTCTATAGGCTTTGGATGCTAGACCATTGGATCTCCCGTTTAATATTATATCATGGTGTGGATAGATTTGAATTATTTTGATAAGTTTGTCTTTATAGTTAAATTCAAATTAAATAATTATGATAAGAATTATCATTTAGTTTAAACTTATTTCTATTTGTTAAAATGGATAGGGACGGGTTATTACCTCATTGGATCCCTTTTTTTTTTTTTTTCTTTACTTGTAATCCTATGAATCCTTTTATTATAAATAGGGTCCCAAAGGCTATGCTAAGGAATAGTTATTACTTCAATGAAATATTTTGCTTTGGGAAACCACGGCTTTCCTCACCCATCCCTATCTCTCTTTTTCTCATATATATCTCGTTCATTCCCTCTCTTCTTAAGTCCCTTTTGGTATATGCTCCCTTTCTCTTGTTCACCACGATATCTAAAGGTTTAGAATTAGTAGAACAAAGGCTTAATATATAAGTCCATATTATTAGAAATTAAATTTATATTTAATTGTGATTGTTTTAAGTAATTTAGATTTAAGAATGGAGATATAAAAGAGAATATAACCACAACAGTTAAGGTTGAGTAGTTAAAATTGAGTACCTCAGGTCAGGAGTATTGTATACTAGAATCTGAAAATTTAGATGTTAACTTTATAGAATTACAATTATATTGCCTATGTTATATTGGATCTGAGCACTGGGTAGTAAAATAATTGGAAAACTAAGTTGAGTGTGACAAAAATTAAGAATATTAAAATTAATTTGTGGTAACTTGAGAAAAAATAAACCAAGGAATGATAATATTAGGGTAATGATTGGTATGACATTTATTGAAGATGAGGTAAACGAAAAAATATTTGGATGGTTTGAAAATATACAAAGAATAGAAAATGAACTTGTTAGATGGTTAGATAACATGATTAGAAGTTACTCAAAATAATTTGTGAAGAATAACTTCAATGCCATAGGTAACACTGAAAAAAGATGAATGAAAAATGAGGACTCATAAAGATGACCAATAAGACTAATGATGATGATGACTATGATTATGATCAAAGGAAAATCACATAATCTGTATTGAATAATAAATAATAATGCATCTAGAATTACTATCTGTGAATTATAAGTTGATCAATGTACCGTTTTTCCAGCAAATATTTTCTTCAGTTCCACCTCGGCTAATACTGAATTTTTTACATCCTCGCCAGCCTGGAAAAAAGTGTGTTGAAAACCATATCTGAACTGAAAAACATAGCAAAAAAAAAAAAAAAAAAAAGAATCACTAATAATGGTACCTCATATAAATGAGCCAGACGCAGGAGCACAGAGCCATCATCTAATTCCTGCAAGATCACAAACCTTCAAGTCAAACAGTCATCGCTAAATAGCAAAATTTTAAACAGATAGATGAACTCCATACCTCGAGTGTGATGAGTGCAACATTAGGAGGCAAACTATAACTTTGATCCATAGAAGTAGCTTTTGTGATTTGAGAAGATTTCCAAATTCTCTCATCCTGAATGAAAATGATAAATTCTAGCAAACTAAGAGAAGGGCTAAAATGATTGAAGTAATGATGATGTACCTCATGTGTAAATGCTAGAAGAACAGGCGAGTATATCTGTTGACCGTATGTTCGCCGCCAATTTGCACCACTTCCCAATTGGTTGACACTCATGTAATATTTCCCTCTAACCTAAAAGATTATTGTAAAGGGACTCAAAACATTTTAGAACTTCAAATGTATTTTTAAATTTTCTTCAAGTAAATGACATTTTTACTAAGAAATAAGAGTCTTGAAAGTATCCCACTAAATAAGAAATAGGCCTTGCTTTGAATCATACTAAATGATAGCTTAATAGGATAATAGTTGCAAGGCAAACTGATTAGCATAACGGAATAGAATCATGTAAAGAAAAATAGGTAGTAAAATGTAAAATAAAATTATAAAGATTAGTTGGCGATTTTAAACTCTACAAAGAAAAGCAAAACTTTAAGACTACTGCACACTTTTTGTTCTGCTATTGGAGAAAAAAACTGACAGCTTTGCACCAATAAATTACTTAGCAGTCTTCATATTCACAATGATTCTGAAGTAAATCTTATTCCTGGTAGTTTCTTAGATTATTATAAAAATATTTGAAGCAAGTTTAGAAAGTGATCATCAACAAAACTAAGTTCAGTCGTTAAATGATTGAATTATAATTAATAGATAGAAGGCGTGTCCATTGCAGTAAATTTTAGTTTTAAATTTATTCAAAGTTAGATGAGTTTTTTAATAGAGCTGGACTTGACTAATCTAGATTGCAAAGTCCATCAAATATTATCCTCAGAGAACATACAAATAAAGAATTAAGTATATCATTCTACCTTTAATATTCAAAATATAGGGAGGCCGATTCTGGCTTGTGATTTATGTTTTATGTTCTGTTAATTTCATTTCAACCCTAAGTACATTAAAATAATTACATAAATAAACTAAGAAAGGTTACAATGTGACTTGCTATCATGGGTTAGAACGAAGCAGTCTTCCTTTAATAGTTGGTGACATTGGGTAAATCGATCCCTACCTAACTTTGCATGGACTGGAGCCTCATGCACTAGGTATGCCTACTACATACAAACTTATGGTCTTGACATTTTTTTTTAACTATTTATGTTTGAAATTTGAGTTTTCTCTCTGTAATTTGGTTTATGGGCCTAGAGATTCAACTGTTGTTGTAGCTAATCATGGTTAAAATAAACAGAAAGATGGATTCCCTTCCAGTACACCACGTCATATCAATTAGTATGATAAGCATGGTTGCCGCATAAGACTTTGTGAACTCATGCATTCAACTCATACTTTGTGTTGAAGCATAAATTGTTTCCTTAGGTGATTAACATCCTGTGCTGGCTATTCACACATGGAAAATTTATTTTGTGCAAAGTCTGGACGGAAAGAACGAAAGAACGGTCCGAATTACTGTCTGAGTATTTGTTGCATGTTTACTGAGTATAGTAAATACACAATAAATCAGCAAAATACTCACAAAATACTCATTAATACTCACAACTGAGTATTTGCAGAGTATTTACTGAGTATTTACAAATACGCAGCAAATACTTAATAAATACGTAGCAAATCCGAATGGTTCTTTCCATCCAGACTCCTCACAGAATAATTTCCCTCACACATGACATACTTCATGAAAGTTGCAAAATTTATTTTATAAGTCCAGATACCTCATAAATACTTACGTTATTTTAACTATATGAAAGTATTGTGGAAGAAAATCTGAGCAATATTAGGTGATATAATATGCCATGCGATGAAAATCTTGCTTTCTTTTTAAGCAGGAAGCTGAAGAAAGACACTCCCTCTAAGCATAAAATGAAAATTGTGACTTGGAGGTCATGGGTTCAAATTAAGTTGCATACATCAAACCCTACCTAACTTTGCATTGGCTGGAGCCTCATGCACTAGGTATGCCTCCTACATACATAAACTTCTAATCTTGCTTTGAGTTTTCTCTATGGAATTTAGTATATGTGTATTTATAGATTCAACTCTTGTTGTTCCGCCTAATCATGGTTACAATAAACAGATAGATGGAATCCCTCCTAATACACTACATGTCACATCAAACAGTATGATATGCATGATTGTCATACCTTATGAACTGATGCATTCAACTAATTCTTTGTGAGGGATCGTAAATTGTTTCTAAGGTGATTAACATCCTGTGTTGGATATTCACACATTATATACTTGATAAAAGTTACAAAAATTATTTTATCGTCCACTACCTCATAAATACTTCGGTTATATGAACTACATGCAATCATGTAGAGGAAAGTCTAAGCAATATTTGGTGCTATAATATGCCATGAGATGAAAAATTAGCTGTCTTTTTAAGTAAGCAGGAGCCTGAACAAAGATATCTCTAAGCACAAAACGAAGAAGTGGCACTTGCTGTTAATGTTCTCATCTTACTCATTGTCCATAGAAGAAGTGGCACTTGCTGTTAATGTTCTCATCTTACTCATTGTCCATAGGAGCTAGTTCGAAATGTTGAAGTTTAAATAAAAAGTTATAATGCATAGATTGTTTATCTGAAAAAAACAACAGCATGAAGGTTCTAAATTATTTGCATTAAATAATACCTAACCATACTGGTCCATACACCAACTCGGGAGAAATAGAATCAAGAAATTCATTTTACTTGAATTTTTATCGGTTTTAATAATTTTGTAAAATACTGAAAATTCTAAAAGATGAGTGTAAGTTGGGTAGTCCAACTAAGATTTCATTTGGGACGGCTTTTTTATTATTTTTTAAAAGCGGTTTTTTAGTAAAAAATTAAAATTTCTATGCTAGAAAGCCGCTTTAAGCAACAAAAAAAAAACTTCTCAAACGAAGCCTAAGAAACAAAAACTGCATGCAGGGAAAGAAAAAAATCAAACAGACAAAGGAGCATACCGTAAGACCCTCACAACCATCATCCGTACAAACTTCCTCATCAAGGGCTTCGTCGACGCCTCTAGAATCATCAGCGAGTAGGCGCCTTAAATTAAAAAGAACTTCATCAGCTTGCATTAGCAAAAAAATTTTAGTGGATCAATCTGTGGTTGAATAGAACCTATGAAGCATGATCTCCAATTGACCATCTTGAATGCTAGAGCCTCCACAAGGACTATCAACAAGTACGGAAAGCTCATACTTCCCGTCTGCCATATACATTCCCAAGTTGAGCTGAAAATTTTACCCAAGAAGCAACTTAACCAAAGTGATGTCAACTTGAACGTGACTAGAATGTCCAAAATGTTTTCTAACACCTTATAATTGGTTGCAAGAAAGATAAAAGGGGAAAATAAGAACATTTGAAAGGGTGAGATACATTAATCTCTTCCAAGAGAACTAATGCTTCATTATTTCATCTTTGTTGCCGGAAATAGCTATTTTTTAAGTAGCATTGAAGTTTGAACAGGCGAAAGATGATTTTTTACATCTAACAAATAGTTTATCCTTCGCCTGTTCAAACTTCAAGCTTATCCTTCGCCTGTTAGAAAACATTTTGCCTGTTCAAACTTCAAGCTTCATTATTTCATCTGAAACAGTGGCTTTCAATTCTTTTTCCTCGTGTATGCCTAGATTTTAATTATATATTTTGTGAATACATGCTGCCAGGCCAGCAACAACTACTCGCTAAAATGTTTGCTAGTCCATTACTTAGCTTTCGGCTATAAAAAGTTCAATGGTTTTAATAAATTTTTTCTATTGCATGCTTAGATATTTTGTTAGCAAGTGTAAATATATAGGGCTCCAGCAAGCTAAATTCCAAAGAAAAGCTCATCAACCTACCTTTATACACATTTATTGACGTAAAAATTTGTGCACAATTGAATCATTTCCCTTAAATTTTGTTATTATTTTTTTCATGGAAATATTTCAAAGAGGTTAAATTGTAGAAGGCAAAAAAAACCCTTACCGGATAATAATTCCCTGCAATTGGTTGAGTCACTTTAAGATCCCAATCCTCCCTATAATCTCGGACCTACATTTGTTGAAAAAATTCTCATATATCAATAAAGGCCATCATAAAAAAACATGTAGCATGGATAGTTCGAAAGTTTAATAAACTTTTGGCTATTAATTGAACAAGGAAATGCTTATCATATGCGATTAAAAAATTATGATTGATCCAAAAGCCTATACAGTTCTTGTAACCATAGGAATGATACAATAAATTCAAGCCCAACACAAAGATAAGAGAATTCAATTAGAAAGCACATCACCATACAGAATATTTAAAGAATTTCCAAGTTGTCGATTACTAGATTTTATTTTGTCATTTTTTAATGTTATTTGTGTAATTAAAACTGCCAGTTGGTGACATCGTTCAAATAAAAAGATTCAATTTGTTCTTTCCTGATGCAAATTATTAATGAAGGATTTAAAGAATTATCATTATACAAGGAGGAATCAAGGGGGCTTGATCTAGGAAAGGTTCTTAATCAAGGGAGTTGTTTAAGAAGGTTCTTAATTAGGGGGTATATTTAAAAAAGTTCCTAATTAATGAAAAAATTATTTATGAATGTTCCTAATTAAGGGAGAGTTGTTTAAGAAAGTTTCCTAATTGTATTTATGCTATTTAGGAAGATTTCTTAAATTATGTTTAATTATGTAAGAATGTTTCCTAAAATATGTATAATTGTTTAGGAAGGTTCTATTTGTGCTAATATGGCTAGGGCTATTTAAGGGGGAGTGAGAGTTTTGATTAAGGTTAGGTGTGATGATATTGCTGTGTTTATTTTCCTAGTGTTTGTTGTGAGTTCATACAGGATACAACTTGATTTTATCTTGAGTAAATTTTATCCTAATCATGAATACTTATAAAAATGCAGAAAACTGTATTGATTCTAAATTATTAGAAATAGTCTATCTAAATTATCTTCATCCAAAATTCAAGATCAATACATAATCTAGGCTATCAAGTTACATCATTAAGTTCAAATTTCAAACAAAAACTTCATTCTATTCTAATGTAATGCTGACATAATCATCACAGGACACAAGTTGATTTTATTCTGGTTTAATTGAAATACTCGAGCATTTACCGGAGTTATTTAATTTCCAATACACAAAGGAAACTATTCAAACAAATCAGGGACAAGTGAAGTAAACTGGCTTTTTTTTCAATATTTTTTTCTACAAGAGATACAGAATCAATAATTCCCTTCTGGTAATCAATTTACTGAAATAGCTATACCTATACAGAAAGAACTTTTTTATTGATTCATAGCATAAATTAGTTATAGGAATGCGAAGAGCTGGAGTCATGTTATGCCGAGGAATGCGGCAAACAGCAAAAAATAAAGAGATCATGGAAGAATTTATCAGAAAGTAGAATTCATAAAAATTACCCGTTTAAGGAAATCTCTTCCATTGGAGTCTGTATAAAATGTCTTATTTGTGACCATATTGGCCGACAACCGAGTGATAACTTCCTTTCCCACACCATCATCAGTTGGGATTGGTCCAATCTTCACACACAAAAGTGAATCAGAATTAGGAACTAGAAGAAGAAAATTATACTAAAAAGAAAAAAAATAACAAACAACTTACAGTAAACTCAAACTCAGCATTTTCCTTGTCCTTGTATATTCTTGTGACCTATTTTAAGTCCAATGAAAATAAGACTGATAAGCAGGATTTTCAAGAGAACAATGATTTCACTTAGGAAAAAGTATGAAATATTTCCATAATAAAATCGCATTATCTTGACCGTGCGAAGGAAGTAGGGCATAATCTGGTCAATTGGGATATTACCAAGACTGTAAAAAGTAATAGTGCATGTAAAATTTATCTCCTACTATTGTATTTCTAATGCATATATATTACATAAATTTTAAAAATTTAATGTCAAGTAACTTTAATCAACTGTAAGTAATTACATCAACAAAAATTGATAACTAGAACAAATGAACCTTTAGTATTAAATTTCTTACTCTATTTTTTTGGTTAAATATGTAATTACATAATCTGAAACAACCGCACGTTTGACGTGATGTCAAATAAAATGCAAGTGATGCCATCTTCTGAGTATAGAATCGAGTTTGGAATGACTGGAAATTATCCAAGTTAATGAAACAAGTACAACATGCGCAATCACGAAAAATGTCATATAAAAAGTAAAAAACTTAAAATAAAAATATTAAATCTCAAAATAGTCCTTTAACTATTCATATGTGCTTAATTTAATCTTAGAATATCATATTTCTCAAATTTAGTCCATTGACCATGTAAAATTGATCCAAAATTGATGCAAGCAAAAATTTGGAAAAAGCACAAAATTTTTGCAAGCAAAAGCAAAGACTTAAAAGATACACAAAATTTCCAAAAATAGGCAAAATACGACAAAAACAAACTTTATAAAAAAAACATGACGCTTACAACAAAGGACGCTTACAAACGACGCTAACAAACTTTTAAAATAAAGCTCCTAAAGTTGCACTTCTTGGTTGAGAAGAAAGGTAATGATGGGGTGGATACTTGCGGGAAGAAGAATGAGATTAGAAGCCGAGCCGAAGTATAGCTCGCAAGCTATTCCAAAGAAAGAAGAAAAACCATCAAGTTTCTAGCCTCCAAAAATACCACATAATCTCTCTTAAAACTCTAAAACAACCACAAACATCTCCTATATATAGGTAAAGAAAGGAGAGCCAAATAGCCACATAAAAACCAATAAAAACAGCACCCAAAGAGCCTTGCATTTATTTCAAAACAGCACTAAAAAAGCCACAGAAATTCTAGGTAAAAATAGCCACGGGAAAGGAGCAGGCAACACAAAACAATTCCCGAAAATCAGCACAAGAAACGGGTAGGAGAAGCCACGGGAACACAGCCAGGGAGGGACCCGAAGAGCCAACACAGAAACCGGGCAAGAGAAGCCACGGGAAAGCAGCCAGGGTGAGAAACCGAAAATCCCACACAAGGAATCGGAACCAACACCCAGCAACCAGCAGGTTTTCACGAGACAGCACAAGGAGAAACCAAGGAGACACAAAAAGGGGAAGAGGAAAAGTGCTGTATAACGGATATGGGGGAGAGGGTCATTTGAAATTTGAATTTCAAACTAAATGGAAAAGGGAGGGAAGAGGTACTTAATTAATTCCTTAAATGGAGTTCCATTTTTTTGGGAAGGAATTAATTAAAATAGGAGAGAAATTGGGGGCCTTAATGGAGAAGCATTAATCAAGTAGAGTGAGGATATAGGAGAGAGGGGGTGGCGGGTAGAGAGAGAAGAGGGTTTAGGAAAAGAGAATTAAAGTGGGCCTTGATTGGAAATCGAAATTGAGGAAGATTAATTGAAATCAAATCTAATCAAAAATTTAATTGGACCTAATTTAATTAATTTAAATCAAATCCAAATTTAGGAAATAAATTAAAATTCAAATTAATTTGAATTTTGAATTCAAATTCGTTGCAAATTAAGATGTATAAAATAAGAAGGCTTTGAATATAAGATGAAATTGTGGGAGGCTTCCTAATTAAGGATTATCAAAGAGGAAAGTATTTGAAATTCAAAAGGAGAGTTGATTTCAAATAAAGACACTTTCCAAATTGATATGAACTACTCTAGGAAGGTAATCAAGGGAGGTTTGAATTTTGAAATTCAAAATTCATTGAGGGAATTTGGAGGGGGGGGGGGAGGGGAGGAAGATGGCCGGTTAGGCTTAGGATGGAGATGGGAAATTTCGGTGGGGAAGAAGAGAGGGTTGTGGGAAGAAGCCGGCAAGTTTGGGTGGAGGAGGGGATGAAGCCGACGGGATTGGAGAGAGGATGGAGATGACCATTAGAATAAAAAAAAAAGGATAAATAAAAACAAAGAAAACCGCGAATCTCGGACTCTTCCAAAGATTGACGGGTATTGTGTTACCCTTCACCAAGGGACTTCAGGCCACGAGCCCGGACACATCCTACGGCTGGTGGAAGCTATGGATTCCTCCCATAAGAATCTCACTCAAGGTTCTTCCCAAAGAACACAAGTGCAAACATAAAATTTTATTATAATTCCATCATTGTCTAATACAAGAGCAAGGGCCTCTATATCTAGGCCTTAAAAGAAACTAAAAGACAAATTTACCCCTTGGGCTTATATAAGACAAGTCCTTTAAGGGTAAAAACGGAAAATGCATAATTAAATAAAAATTGCAATTAATAAACTAAAATAAAATGGAGGGACCTCGGCCATCGATCTTCGTCTCTTCCTTTGATTAACGTCTATCGTCGGATGTCCGCATCATTCTCCCGGGGTGGAAAAGAGCTCGATTCCGTCGAGTCCACACCACGGGTAACCATGCTCTGATACCAAATTAATGTAGAACGGATATGAGGGGAGAGGGTCATTTGAAATTTGAATTTCAAACTAAATGGAAAAGGGAGGGAAGAGGTACTTATTTAATTCCTTAAATGGAGTTCCATTTTTTTGGGAAGGAATTAATTAAAATAGGAGAGAAATTGGGGGCCTTAATGGAGAAGCATTAATCAAGTAGAGAGAAGATATAGGAGAGAGGGGGTGGCGGGTAGAGAGAGAATAGGGTTTAGGAAAAGAGAATTAAAGTGGGCCTTGATTGGAAACCGAAATTGAGGAAGATTAATTGAAATCAAATCCAATCAAAAATTTAATTAGACCTAATTTAATTAATTTAAATCAAATCCAAATTTAGGAAACAAATTCAAATTCAAATTAATTTGAATTTTGAATTCAAATTCGTTACCAAATTAAGATGTATAAAATAGGAAGGCTTTAAATACAAGATGAAATTGTGGGAGACTTCATAATTAAGGATTATCAAAGAGGAAAGTATTTGAAATTCAAAAGGAGAGTTGATTTCAAATAAAGACACTTTTCAAATTGATATGAGCTACTTTAAGAAGGTAATTAAGGGAGGTATCAAATTTTGAAATTCAAAATTCATGGAGGGAATTTGGAGGGGGGGAGGGGAGGAAGATGGCCGATTAGGCTTAGGAGGGAGATGATAAATTTCGGTGGGGAAGAAGAGAGGGTTGTGGGAAGAAGCCGACGAGTTTGGGTGGAGGGGATGAAGCCGGCGGGATTGGAGAGAGGATGGAGATGACGATTAGAAAAAAAATGATAAATAAAGACAAAGAAAACCGCGAGTCTCAGACTCTTCCAAAGACTAACAGGTATTGCGTTGCCCTTCACCAAGAGACTTCAGGCCACAAGCCCGGACACATCCTGCGGCTAGTGGAAGCTATGGATTCCTCCCATAGGAATCTCACCCAAGGTTCTTCCCAAAGAACACAAGTGCAAACACAAAATTTTATTATAATTCCATCATTGTCTAATACAAGAGCAAGGGCCTCTATATATAAGCCTTAAAAGAAACTAAAAGACAAATTTGCCCCTTGCGCTTACATAAGACAAGTCCCTTAAGGGTAAAAACGGAAAATGCATAATTAAATAAAAATTGCAATTAATAAACTAAGATAAAATGGAGGGATCTCGGCCATCGATCTTCATCTCTTCCTTGGATTAACGTCTACCGTCGGATGTCCGCATCAAAAAGGCAGCCAAGGGAAGAAATATAAGAGCCACAAGGGAGGGAATGAACCTAATAAAGATAATTTATGAGCTGAATTAAGTAGAAGAAAAGCATTTATGAGCTGACATCTACTATAGGAAATTAAAGCTCACCAAAAATAAAACCCAATTTGTTTTGACCCCCCTTGCCTACATCAAAAATAGTGTCGTATACAAATTATAAAACAAAATTGATCACAATCCTAAGGGATTATATATTGTAATGCAAAACCCTAGTATTGAATCGACCACATACGAATAGTTAAGGTGCCATTTTTCATTGTAGTCCACTCAGTTATCTTGAAGGGATGTCAAGTGCTCTGCTCGGGTTTGTGGCACGACCGTCATCCATTTTCCTGCAAGGAAGTCCGCTTATCCCTAATCTTTTTGGTTGTTCTTTTCCTCTACTTCTTTATGGCTGGTAAACGATTGCTTGACCCCGACTTTTTGGATCGGGTTCTGCAATCTCTCTCTTTTCGGGAGGTTTTGTCGAGGACTTCCTTATCGTCTTCTTTTCCGACTTTGAAAGTTTCGCCCTGTCACAGTTTACCTTCTTTGTTGATTTCTGATGAAGAATTGCGTGCCCTAGCTGCGTCGTTTGAGTTTGCTTTAGTCGAGAAATTTCCCGACCGGCGTCCTTCTCTTGAAGCTATACGCAAATTTTTTTTTTCCAACTTAAGCTTAATGGTGAGTTCTCTGTCACTATTCTCAACAACAAGAATGTTTTGATCAAGCTTAGGAATGATTTAGATTACTGTAGGGTATTCTCTCATTGTTCCTATTTTGTTAACAACTGTTTCATAAAGTTGTTTAAATGGTCTCCGCATTTTGGCCCTAATGTGGAATCCCCTATCATTCCAAGTTGGATATCTTTCCCTAACCTTCGCCCTCATCTATTTTCTACCCGAATTCTTCAGGGGTTAGGGTCCCTCTTTGGCCAGCCCCTAAGGACTAATAACGCTACTGTTAACAGGACTAGACCCTCCGCTGGTCGTGTCCTCGTAGAGCTAGATGTTACTAAGAGGTATTTGAATCAAGTATGGCTAGGTTCTGAAATTATGGGTTA